CTTTTTAGTATAAAATTTTCTAATTCCAGAAATTTTTGTACTAAAAAGCTGGCTGCATAAAAAAAAGCAATAAAAAAGCTGTCCCAAATGAAACCTAAGGCTTTGTCTGGGACAACTTTATACCACTATTCTTTTCTTGCTTCCAAGAGATTTTTGTACTAAAAAATAACTTTAAAAAACAGTGAGAATGCCATTCCAAACGAAGCCTAAGAGATGAGAATGTTCATGCATTGAATAACTCAATGAGATTTTTGCCACCTAACAATCAATGGAAAATGGATTTTATATGCATTGCCATAAAGTTTTTTCTATTCAATGGAAGCATGAGAAGGCGAGTCGAAGGCTCTATGCAGACCACCTTAGCCTGATGGTTGGCATCTTGAGCTCCCAATTAAGAGGTATTATATTTGAGGTTTTACATATATATTTTGAGTGAGTTTATGAATAAATTCGATCAAAATCCTACGAAAAAGGGGGATTTCAAGCAAAAGTTTAAATTAAGGAAAGATCAAAGTTTATTTTAATGATCTAGAGAGTTAACAACTAATATCTAATGATTTTTTTCAAAGAGGTTGTTGGTTAAAAAGGTTAAATATAACATTATTTTGATCAGACACGAATCTCGAGGCATATCCATACAAGAAACTCCCAAAATTAAAATAATAATCATCCAAGCTCTGATTTCAACAAACTTATATTTGAATTAACATCTCAATAAGATGAACCAAACTACATCAAAACTGGTCCAATCTGAATCCAAACGAGCCCAAATCAAAGGTCTAAGGCATATTTGAAAGGTTCAAGGCATTAATTGAATAACCAAATAATCGTCGAATATGGCATGTTATAATCAAATCGAGCAGCTCGACGAGACAATTCCAATGAGGGAATAAAAGTCATGCCACTCTAAAAAAACTATAAATATGCCCCTATTCTTCACATAAGAGGAGGGGAAGGAGAGGGAAGAAAAAAAAAAGGAGAAAACTTGTAAAGCTCCCTTGCTGTCGTCTACTTTCGAATTTCTTCTGTCACTGGACTTCTGTCTATTCGTTGATCATTGCTAATGTTCTTCTTCACCGCCAATGTTCTACTCCATCGCCAACATTCATTCTTCCCAACCACCAGCATTCTTTCGAAATACCAACGTTCTTCCCAACTATTGGATTTCTTCTCCATTACAGACGTTCTTCTTGACCATCATGAAGTTTTTCTTAATCATCATTTAAGTTCTTCTTGACTATCACTAGACTTTTATACTCAAAATAGTTGTCTAAAGATTGATAGAATTTTTCAATACATTGTATGCTTCCAGTCATTGGATTGGAAGACGGTTTGACCTTTGTAATCTATTCAAATTTTAGTGGAACCATTTCAACTGGGCAAATCTCCGTGATTTTGCTCTTTCTAATGATTTTCCACATAAAAATCCTGGTGTTTTCTTTTTCATCTGTTTGTGTGCAAAACTTTCGTGTATTGCTAAGACGTATATTCTTCTCACTACTGCTGCGAATTTCTCAGTCCACAACGGTGAATAAGATTGTCATGAGATCATTAAAAACATCGATTAAATGGTGTGTAAATTATTTTTTCAAATGTACAAAAATACTTGCCTAAATGAGACATTGCTTTATAGTATTATTCTATTTAATTTTATGTTAAATAGAATAATAGGGGAAAAGAAGGGAGGTATTAGGGATTGTATAAGAGGAGGGGAAATTCAACTAATGAGTGCAACAGCACAGAAAAAAAAAAAAAAATTTCATCGACACCCCAACTGCCAAGTCATTGCACAATCCTAATTTGCTTCAATCATAATAGAACTTGGCGACTGCGCTCAAGTATCTAAATACATGATACATAATTCTCCTTAAAAATTGCCCAAAATCAAAGGACAACACTTGAGCTGGTTGGGTGTTGATTTTGACTATTTTGATTGCTTGCATGGTGGCAAAGAAGGAGCCTAATACTATCAAACATCTAAGAAATAAAATCTTCAAATTCATGAAAGATAACCAATATGCTTGTTCATAAATGATAAATTATGGCTTCATTTGAATTCCACTCTTCATACCTACTGGATTTTAAATTTCAGAAGACAGTTTTGGCTTCCAAGCATCTATAGAAAATCAAATGTATTCAGTTTTGCCAACAAACTTTAAGAGATCAAATACATGAGAACAACATGAAAGGGCTTTGATAATTACCGGTCTGGCATAATGACTATTACTTCGAATAAGTTAACTCCAAACGTTCCTTGAGGTAATCGCCACCGCGGATGGGAGGAAATCTGCAGGGAAAGAAGCTTTAGCAGATAATAGAGTGCACTGATACACTTGAACTTTTAGAAAAATGAAAATATATTTAAACAATCTCTGACAAAACAATGAATTTTTATGCAGAAATTAGTTGATCAAGTATTTTTCCCTTGTAAATTGTTTAGGGTTCTGACCAAGAACTTAATTCAACAATCTACAGAATCCAAGGGCTACAGCTGTTGATTTCGTAGAAGAACACGCTTTACATCCATTTTAAAGACAAAATTCTCCCCATCAATCTCCCCAAGCTATAGGTAATTAATGGCTTCAACAAAGGGAGAAATGGAGATGCATCATAAGATAAATATCATCATGGTCCACATATCAGCAGTATCGCAATCTTTCTATCTCAAAATTTCCTACTTTTAGTTTTTATGACTTACTCAAGGTGGTTATGCTAGTAAGCTTAGGCTTCGTTTGGGACGACTTTCTTACTACTTCTTAAAGCAACTCTTTAATATAAAAATTTTAATATTTGTACTAAAAAACTGTTTTAAGAAGCAGTAAAAAAGCCATATCAAATTAAGCCTTACTGCTTCCACAAGAAGAAAATTGAATAGAAACACAATTGGCAACCACCAAGAAAGTGTGCATAGAATGAAGAAGAGAACAATACCTTGGCGGAGAGGTTTCACTGCAACAACTCTCTAAGCATTCTACTAGGCAATCAGTGCTTGGATCAAGGAAAAAAGCAACCTGGTCAGTTCACACAGTTAGTAAACTGTGGAAGCACTTGCCTTCAGAGACATTAATGCAAGAATAAGAAACAACTTCCTGAAAATAAAAGAATGGGATGGAGGTTCTCTTTTAAAGTATCAAAATCACAAGCAAAATATCTAATTTAGCAGTACAAAGGAATTGATGGGGCATTTAAGCATTGAAAATTCACCGAATAGCGCTCCTTCCCAATTGCAACCACCCTATGCAATGTTGATCTGCATAATATTTATCAAGTATCACATGCAGCACACAAAATTATACATTTGCTGAGCAATAATAAATTTTTTAACAATTTAAAAGACATTCTGAAGAAATTATGCAGTTTAATACCGGAATAAGCAGTTTGTCCACCTCTCCAACATGTCCCCGATATTAACAATGAATGCTCTGTAGATGTATGTAATACAAGAAATGTCTGGTTTAGAGAAGTGCTACTATGGAAGCATTTTAAGTAATAAAGCCAAGGGAATCACAAAGTTGTCATAATATTCCTTAAATATAAATAGAATAATCATGTTCAAATATATAACACTAACTTTGGATTACCACAAAACTAGGCATGAGAACTCAGAATATGGGTGCTGTAACGCGAAAGAACATATGCTTGAACTTAAATGAGAGCCGCCCCCAGGACAATCTAAAAAAGTTGGTATGCATCGATAATGTCAGACACCATCACACAAATGCATGTGCCATTTATGGTGTGCATGAGTTCGGGAAGTAATTGATAGGAAACACTTGTAGATCTCAAGTTTTTCCTATCAATCTTCGAAAAACAGCAAAATTTCTCCACAATAATTCACACAAAAGCATGAAAATAGTAGATAATTTGTATTATTTGATGAAAAGGAAGCGGAAAATACCAAGATACAATTGATCCTCTATTTGAGAGGAGGATTGATCTCTCTCAATCTCTAGACGCCGCTAGAGCCCAAAGGAAAACTTAAATCTAGGAGATCTCAAATTTCAGCCAAATTCAAGATGCACTAACCCTAGGAAAACAAACTATTTAATACATAAAATTCAAAAGTAAATCTCTAAACAGTCCATACATTCAAATTTCCCTCCTAACTCCCTCAAAAATCCCTCCTAAATTGCTCCATAGGATCAGCGGTTCGGTCGGCAGCACAAACAGACGAAAAACATCCGCCCGTTTCGCGTGTCCGATCTATATGGGACTGGCCTAACAGTAAGCTTCATGTTTCCCAAGCATTTGCTTTGAAAATTATAAGAAACATATTTGTAACTTACCCTTCAATATGAGGCACATCCTCCCATAATTGTGGCCGTCTATCCTTATCTCTGCATATCTATGCAATAGAAAGCATGCTTATGAGGATGATATAACCTGAATAATTATAGTGTATATGGTGTCTCCAGGAAACATGCCTGAAGCCCAGGGACCCCATCAGTTACTAAAAGAGTGATCATTCCATAGTCTGAATGGGCAGATGCACCATAATTATCATAATCCTCAACCTTAAGCTCACCTGCATATTAATTTTATTGACATGTAATTACAGCTTGGTCTTTTTTTCACTAAAGACTGGGAGAAATAATAAAAGGCTATTAAAACAATAATGTAAATTATAAGAAAGAACACAAATTTGCAGGAAAAAATGAGAGTGGATG